TGTCGATATAAAGGTGGCTATGTGTCGTAAAAATAACCTTTCATTTCTCCCCGGACCATGCTGTACAGACGATACCCGTCGCCTGTAAACGATGCGGGGGTCCTCTCCTGTATATTTACAAAAACTATTCCTCAGATGGATTATTCCTATACATGTGCCGCTTATATTTCAGACATTCTACATATGTACATATAATCGCCGGAAATTAAGACCTTATAGAGGTTGCACTTATGTTCCCAGACACGTTCCCCGCTGAGCAAATGCTATAGGAAGGGCCATCAAAAGAAAAACGTATCCTGGGAAGATAATATGGGGTTTAATGAAAATATAAACAGTGTCTACAAATCACGGACTGAGGGGCCACAGTTTGGCAGGGTCGCCTCTTTCAAACCGTTGCCTCTGTATGGATGTCTCGGAGTGACAGTAAAGGATCAAGGTCTCCGAGATACATCCCCGCATTCAACTCCCATACCGACTCCTAGGGGCAGATTCCGACTATCCCTTCCACTGACCTTTTAAGACTATTTGATACCCCAAAAATATCATGACTGGTGTCTACAGGTGGAGTTAAACCTATGTGGGTGAATATAACAGTGGGTATTTGGGTGATCTTTTGCTGAGCCGAACTCATTACACCAGAAAAGGGAATGAGTAGGCCAGGCAAATTGGGTACTGCATCTGGGGGCTGTCTATTTCATATTTCATTGTAAGAACTCACCTACCTGCCAAAGGACATGCAGAGAAGCTGTTTTTGTGATAAAATCGATGACTTCTTTTCCTGATGATCTGCATACAGAATTTCGGAACGCTTCTCTCAAAAGTACTCTCTCACTGATTTATAGCTAGGCGACCACCGTAAGTCGAATCCAATGGTCCCCTTCGTTTGGAGTCACTACTCTCTTTTGGAGGAGCTATGACCAATTTGTCGCAGTTAATGAGTCGAACGAGAGCCATCAACTACAGAGGCGTTATTTTCGCCCTCACTAATAACAACACGTTCGCCAGCCGTTCTCCGCTTGTATAAATTCCACATAGGCTTCTCCACAGACGTAGTCTAATCAGAAAGCTTTGAGTCAAAAACTACATCAGCCGAAAAAAGTAATGGGGGCTGCTGCCCGGAAAAGTGTGGTATTCTGGGACGGATGCAGGAAACCTGATCTGCTTTTGTAAGGAATTTATAAAAAGGTGAATACATAGCAACAGAACAGAACGGCTTTTATTATTCTTCAATTGTGGACGAGTTACGCGATTTTCAAAGAATGTATCGGAGTAGTCTAGCTACACTTTGTTTACCACTACATGGTCTTCAGAAAAGCTTAATAATGTTTTGAATTTCTATAGACCGACAACCCATTCTTCGTAAACAACTCCATGTTGCATAGGTTTTTTACCCGCTGAAGGTGTAAATAAAGTAAATAGAGGGGAAGGCTGCTGATAGAAGCTCAATGATTAAGCTTGGCTATAATATCAGATTAGAAGAATAGTTCTTGTCGTCTGGGGGATCATTTTTAGAAGGTCTTAGCTCACGTCAAAATGAATATTTTCATCCAAAAAACATTCAACCCTTCACACCAAGCCTTCCAGCCCTCCTGGTTCGGTTAATTGGTACCAGACACGTCTGGGAGGATAAAAGCACTGACATGTACATCGTCTGGCCGCCGCAAGTCATTTTATAGACCACATACGCATTCAACACCACTACGATTCTGGATTGAAGTCGGGTGCCTGGGCGCATTCCTCAGACCGGATTGATCAATGAAGACTCTTTTATGGTAGATGTGGATATTGAACTGTTTAGACAACTGCCGGAAGCCCTTCTCTGCCCGTTACCTTTGCTGTGACCACTGCATCTCTTGTATTCGCTGAGCCAACTTCAAAAATTCTGACTTACTGCTGAGAAAGAACTCAAACCTAATAGTCATTGGTGCCTTTTCCAACTCCACTGCTTTTGTTTCGTAACAATTGTGTATGTCCGCAAATTTCAGACGTTTTCGAATAGTTAATTTAGCCCAATGCATTTGATGAGATTACAATAAGGTGTTTAAGTGAACGGCGGAGGTGGTGTAGTGGCAAGTGTCGTACTATATCACACACACGGTCAGGGGCTCGAATCCCGGATCGATGCCTGCCTAGGTCAACCGAGCCTTCTATCTCTCCTAGGTCGGTGAATTAATTCCAGACTCGTCTGGGAGGATAAAAGCACTGACTTGTATATCGGCTGGCCACCGCAAGTCATTATATAGGCCGCATACGCACTCATTACGCACTACGATTCTGAATGGAAGTCGAGTGCGGGGGCGCATCACTCAGACGGGATTGATTAACGCCAAAAACTTTATCCTTTTTCCTTTATAAGTGAACAATCATGGCTTCCGTACCGCCGTTGTTGCCACCTATCGGCTTCCGGTAATCACGCATTGTTTCCGTGCGAATGGACGAGTGTCGTTTTCCAACTACCTACAATTTTGAATTGTAGTAATAACATGTTGGTAGGGGTACAAACTATTTTCTGATCAAGAAGTCGGCAAAGTCGAGCTTTGCAAAAGTCGTCAGTCCTTCGAGTTCGGTTTTCCGGGGAGAAAGGCGATTGTTCGACGGCTGCCTTCCGAGCAAAAGGTTTCATATCCATGAAAACTTTTTTAGTCGAAACGAAAACCAAACGTTCTATCATTGGACAGCGAGAGCCGCATTCCGTCGACCTGAAGCTGTGAATTCTGGGAACGACTAAATCGTCGGAGATCCTTTTGTCTCCATCTTAAGTTTTTAAGCTTTCGAAACTAATTCGATGCTGGAAAGATTGGAATGCGTAGGCGGTAGAACTGGCGAGAGCAATGGTGCAGCGAAGTTCTGTGAATCAGTTCGCTTGATTCCTTCGAAATAGATGGTCCATTTTGTGGAGCGTATTGTGGAATAGAAAGGGCCCTATACTACCGGACAATTCTAGGAGTTGACTCTGCAGTTTCCTGTGTCTTACCTATCCTTAAAGCGTGGCTCCCTCCCAGCTTCACGTTGTTTCGTAGTAGGTGGTGGACAAATCATTCGATAGGTCCATTGCAAGCGAGTCATGAGTTTGGATATTACTGCTCTGGAAAATTCTTGGGAGCATCACTCATATCATTCGTAACCACCAACACGCTCGCTTCATGTTGTCGTAAAGGACCAGACACCCGTCTGAGGTGGCAACTGGATGGGTCTTTCTTATCAAGACAATAGAGGCAGAGGGACAGAACACGATTCAGCTGCAGCAAATTGAAATCGCTTAGGACCCACTTGCCCAACTTCACACACTTTCCATCTTTCCGCACACTTTGGAACTGTTCGTATGCTATTTCGAAGAGTGCTGCTGCTGCAGTCATGAAAAGAATCCTCTCGGATACTTTTTTCTGTGAACTGACATCGTCAGCATGGAAGAACGTTCGCAACATACCTGATCCTCAAAGTCGAACTCCAAACTACTGGTTATGTAACCAAAATGCTCCAAGCAGCCGCTTCTTCTTCGGCCCCACTCCTTTGCTATCCCGTTGTTTCGCACCACCACCGCTTGAAGAATTCTATAGAACTCCAAGCTCAAGTTTTGTTACTCAGTTAGTCCAAGCTGAAGCAGATTGCAGTAAAAAGGTAACAAAGAACTAGAACGCCCTAACAAAATCTAGTTANCGAACTCCAAACTACTGGTTATGTAACCAAAATGCTCCAAGCAGCCGCTTCTTCTTCGGCCCCACTCCTTTCCTATCCCGTTGTTTCGCACCATCACGCCCGAGCTTGAAGGCGAATAATGAAATTCTATAGAACTCCAAGCTCAAGTTTTGTTACTCAGTTAGTCCAAGCTGAAGCAGATTGCAGTAAAAAGGTAACAAAGAACTAGAACGCCCTAACAAAATCTAGTTAGCAGTACAGCAGTAAATATCTCCGCCAAAATATTCGAAGGATTCGTGTTCTCACGAGGGTATGGAAGCGTCCATAGACTCCTTGTCATGTATCGTAGCTGAAGTTTGCTCCGCTTATACTCTAGAAACGAGCATTGCGAAGCTCGGTCTTGACTAGTTCTGCACTCGCCTGTGTTGAGAAATTCTGAGCATTTTCTTTCTTTCCATAGAACAATGAATGAGCCGAGTCACGTGCTCATTCTGCCTTCAAGACAGGAAAGACAGCAAAATCGAAAAGGTGGGCGCGGAGATGGATTTCCTTTGTCTCCTTCACTACTCTCTCGACGTCGCTAAATTTTCTCCATTCCATTCTCTCATCCATCTACTCGGCTGTTAGTCCGTTTAATCATGTGGTCCCGATTGTAATAGTCGATCCCATAGGCGTAAAAGGGCATTAGCAACAATTGCACTTCCGTAAATTTCGTCTTCGTTAGATCCAACTAGAAAAACTATGTTTACATGAGCGCTAATGAATTCAACCAGTATATCTTCAAAGTGCACGATGGTCGTCGTTATAAGGCAGAATGTCTCTGCGAAGTCGACGTGATGTAAGTGCCGACTCCGTTATTGTTTCTGTCACTTTCGAGTCAGAAGCCTTCTTCATTGTGGTGAGACGCAGCGGCACCTTCAGCTATTGAACACTTCAGACAATCCTGTAGTTCTGACGAAATAGTTGGTTTCGCTGAATCCCTTCTGAAACAGTGTTTCCTCGTATAGCTGCCCTTATCCAAAGTTCTGCTTTTCCTGCTGAATATGGCTCGATCGGAAAGCAGACAGCAGACGGATCGGAAAATGTTCCCATCTTCGTCAGCGTTTAAGTTCTTATTAAGGAGCGCCTTCTGACTTCCTTTGCAGAAAGTGCACATTGTCCTCTACAGTGTGAGCCGACCCAAGGTTTGACATCAGCTTGCGGAAGATTCTAATCCATTCCTTTCGTTACCAGGTGTTGTACTATTCCTCATAGGCGAATTGATCTTTCACACTCCCCAAAGAGCACATTGAGGGGAGGCATATCCGGGCGAGAACTGCGGGAATGCTTAGGTCGAAGTGGTGGGCTCTACCAGTTTCTCACCTTTTCATTCTACTCTAATCCGCCAGTTCAATGGGAAACTTTTCTCCTTCTCTCCTGAAATGGACTTGTCTTCTCATTTGCCGGTGGTGAGCTAAGGAAGTCCGGCGCTTTTCCTTCAACTTGAACTTGAAATTGATTGGAAGATTGAGAATGAGCGGTTGAAAACATGTGGCTAATGTATAGTCAACTGCTTTATCCGCTTCGATACGTCAGGCTTTCGTATGAACCGATGTTCAAAGCATATCCGCATCTTGTTTTGAAAAATGATCCTTCTCAGACCAACGGACAGCTACTAGCTAGCGGATCCTGTCTTCTGGTCTCAATTTGTCCGACTAACAGGTATACAGCACCCCGAATAGACTCTTGGAGAAGCTTTGCTTACTGAAGTAGGAGATTCCAAAACCCAAGTCCACCTATTCCCCAGGGCGTGAACGTGGCGACTTTTGGAATCTGCTCTAGGTTACCTATAAGTCAGGAGGTGCAGGTTGCATGACTGATTGAAGCTGTTTTCATAAACAATAGATCAAATTGTAGCCACTGGAAGTCTACCCAGAAAACAGTTTTTATGCTGATAGACTACAAAACGGTTGGATATTTTCAACTACATTATTTTCACCATAGAAATATACCGTGTAATTTTGCATTTCAAAATGAAAAGATACGTTTTCTCTAGAATTGCCCTTCCCGTTTGTCCCGTGCATCTGCAGCTATTGAAACTTCTGTCGAAGAGCGGGGACCGAGTCCATACATTCGTTTATCGTCTGACGATTGAACTCAGGTTGAATCCTAGAATGATCTATGCAGACAGCATGCCCCATAGAGGGTCATGCCTTCATCAATAAGGATAAAAATCTTGGGAAGTCATCAATACCCGTCTGAGGGATGCGCCTTGCATTCGACTTCCACTTAGAATTGCAGTAGTGTTTTGAATGCGCATGTGGCCTATACAATGACTTGCGAAGGCTAGCCGTGCAACTCAGTACTCTTATCCTCCCAGGCGAATTTGGTACCAAGTAACCGACCCCAGAGGGATGGAGGCCTTGGTCGGCTCAGGCGGAATACTTTCCTTACCTTTGAAGAGCTGTAACTCTTTACGATCGGGGCAATGCCTGAAGGAGGCTGTTTGAGTTTCAAGGAGGCATCTGACCGTACGTATCCTGAAAGCTTGAAATCATATTTTCTAAGTGTAGTGTCAGCCCTCGACGTTGTTAATCCTTGACCAGTTTTCTGCGCTGACCCATTCCATTAAGAGTGTGTTCCATATCTGGCAACTCCTTATCTGATTAGCCTGTTCACTGTGTTTTGAATGTAATTTTCTCTACCAACAAATGGGTCCTCCACATTGAAAACCCACACTGCATACCACAACGAGGTTTTTTTCAATATTCCCTCTATGCAGTGGTGCCACTCCTTTGAGAGCACTCCCTTCTTTCGCTTACTTCGGTATGCTTCAGCAATGGCAGGGTATCGCATAAAGCGAAGTGATTTATGAAGAGTGACTGAGAAATTTCAAGCATTTCTCAGCGCCAAGAATGCGCTAGAGTACTGATTGATGATACTGAGCTAAGCATGAGAATGCAGGAAATATCGAGCTCATCTTCTTGTATCACCGGACTGCAATCGTGGGTAGCTTGCCTACTCCTACTGATTCCCTCACCTCAACATATATGGGTGAGAAGATTGCTTTGACTAAGTTCTGTCTCGGTACTCCCTCAATCGCCCGAAGGGCTGTAGCACGTGAGGCAGCAGAGTTTCCTCTTATCCCCTAATATAAGTATCATGTTAGCACAAAGGCTCCACCAGCTTTTCCCTACCAAGATGCAGCTGTTCGGGAGCGGCCTTTCCTGTAGAGGCGTTACTTTCCGCTTTCGAGGCTTATTACACCGCTTCCATTTCAGCCATTTTGCAGGAATAACCTTGAATACTGGCATCCAATTTGATGCATTTCAAAAGCATATTTGAGACGGAACTTCGAAATTGTCGCGCAGGAGAAAAGGATGGAGACGGGGACTTTTTTGAGAGATTTTTCTTTGTATCAAAACATTTTCTCAGTAACGGTGCAGAATTACGGTGTTGTAGACGCTTACTTCAGCTCGATATGTTCCACAGTTCTCATGCTTATCTCAAAATCATCAATAGGTATTTCAGCGTATTCACGACCCTAAGAGGAGCTTTCAAATTCCTCAGTAATTCTTCATAAATTACTTGGCTCCATGCCATACCCCGCCATTGCTGAAGTATAACAGAAGTAATTGAAATAAAGGAGTGCCCGAATGGGCTCGGCACCATGGCTGGAGGGAATACTGAAAAAACTTCGTTGTATTTGCAATGTGGGTTTCCAATAAGAAGGACCCATGTGTGGGTAGAAAAAATTACATTAAAAACACAATGAGCAAACTAATCACATAAAGCGTTGCTAGATAGGGAGTACAGTCCTAAAGGAACGGCTAAACATTGAGAGCTGGTTATGGAGTACAGTAGTCTACCTGCTCAATCAAATTGTTGACATTTTTGGTGAACAAGCTCTAAAAAACGCCCATGTTCAATAAGCTACTTAGCTGGCCACCGTTTGAACGTCCATTTCCTTTGATCTCTCTTGTTTCAACTACTCTGTTCTTCAACTTTACATCAAAAAAGACCTTATCTTTGTACTTCAACCTAAAGCTCTAAACTTTGGACGAGTTTTTTATAAAAGACCCACCTTTATGCACGTTACAACCACAGAAGGATCCGGAGCTTTTAGTTTGATGAAAACATCATCGAATGTTATTGAAAAGACGATTTCCTACTACAGTATCCGGTACATGTGCCCAAATTCCACAGTATCGGCTCCAGGTACCGTATTATCCCACTGAACATCCAAATCTCATCCTGTCTTTGTGAGTGGGAATTGCTTAGGAGCAGCGGTTATCAAAAAAATTATCCGTGATCAAGATCTGAACCCTATTAAAACACATACTTCCTCCTCTAGAAAGCTCTTTTCACTGAACTCCATTAACACTTGAAGAAACAAATATTTTCAGAAATCAACTACGACGAAGATACATTTTCTTCCGCATTCTCTCTGAATTTGGTTGTCCGAGAAGAGGGAGAGGCCGAAAACGGAGAGAGGTAAGAAATTGCTTGTTACGAAGTGCCAGGGCCAGATTTTGCTGCTGCGTTGATACATCAGAAAACAAAACGAGCTAAAAAACAAAACAAAACAACAAAAGAACAAAAGAAAACACAAAAAAACATAAACTTAAATGGGACATAGTCCACGGCCATAGTTTGGTCAAACTGCCAAATTGAGCAAATCATAATACGAGATATGTAAGCCCTAGCATTTGGGTGATACCCAACAGGAGAAATCCCGCGTAGACTGGGAGAGTTCCTGAGAAACCTGTAACTCATTATGGTGCTCAATGGATGAGGAGCAGCTCTGAGG